TGCTGCTGCTGCTGCTGCTGCTGCTGACGCTGCTGCTGCTGTTGCTGCTGCCGCTGCTGCTGCGAGAATCAGAAACAGGCGGCCCCACGGCCGCGTCCCCTCCCGTGGCAGTAGTGCTTGCTGCTGCTGCTGCTGATGCTGCTGCTGCTGCTGCTCCTGCTGCGTCTGCTGCTGCTGCTTCCCCGGACACAGGGGGGGCCCCACACTTCTCTGGGGGCGCCGCCTCTGCTTCGCCTGCAGCAGCAACAGCAGCAGCAACAGCAGCAGCAAGTTTAGCAGCAACACCAGCAACGCATGCAGCAGCAACAGCAACTGTAGCTACAGCAGCCATCAACCAACAGGCAGCAGCAGCAGCAGCAGCAACGCATAATCGTCAATGAATTCTAACTTAAGGGACGAGACTGACGAGTTGCTTCTTCTTCTCGCTGCTGCTGCTGCTGCTGCTGAAGCTGCTGCTGGTGGTGCTGCTGGTGCTGCTGCTGTTGCGGGAGGCTTTCTGCAGCTGCGAACGGTTGCTGCAGCGTCTGCTGTTGCTGCTGCGGCATTTGCTGCTGCTGCTGCTGCGGTACTTGCTGCTGCTGCTGCTGCAGTTGTTGTTGCTGCTGCTGCTGCAGCTGCTGCTGCTGCTGCACCTCTCTGCCCCACATAGGCTGCGCTGCTGCACTAGGGGGCCCTTTGAGGGGTTGGCCTAGGGGGCCCCCTTGTGGGGAGGAGGCCTGCTGCTGTTGCATAGGCTGCTGCTGCTGCAGCAGTGGCTGCTGCTGCAGCACAGCTTGCTGCGGCGGCAGCAAAGGCTGCTGCTGCGGCGGGACAGGCTGCTGCTGCTGCAGCACAGGCTGCTGCTGGAAGCCCATGTGCTGCAACGGCACCCCGTGGTGCTGCTGCTGCTGCTGCTGGTGCAGCGGCTGTGGGGCTTGCTGCTGCGGCAGCACATGCTGCTGCGGAGGTCCCAGCTGCTGCTGCCAGGAGGCGAGTCCAGCTACAGAACCGTGTGCATGAGGCTGCTGCTGCTGCAGCAGCAGCTGCTGCTGCAAGTGCTGCTGCTGCTGCAGCTGCTGCTGCTGCTGCCAACGCTGATCTGCAGACCACTCTTGCTGCTGCTCAGCCCACTGGCTACGAGCCATTGGGGGCTGCATCTGCGGGTGCTGCAGCTGCTGCTGCTGCAGCTGCTGCTGCTGCAGCTGCTGCTGCTGCATCTGTGGGTGCTGGAGCTGCTGCTGCTGCATCTGTGGGTGCTGCAGCTGCTGTTGCTGCAGCTGGTGCTGTTGCAGCTGCGGCTGCTGCATCTGTGGGTGCTGTAGCTGCTGCTGCTGCAGCTGTTGCTGCTGCAGCTGCTGCTGCTGCAGTTGCTGCTGCTGCAGTTGCTGCTGTTGCAGCTGCTGTTGCTGCAGTTGCTGCTGCTGCAGCAGCTGCTGCTGCCACGCCATCTTGGCAGTACTGCAGCGCAGTTGCTCACTTGCTGCTACCGCATCTGGCCTGTCCTGCTGCTGCTGCTGCTGCTGCCGCTGCGGCTGCTGCTGCTGCTGCTGCTGCTCTGCGACACTAAAGTCAGCTAAAATAAAAAGCTGCTTTGCTTAACTCTGCGTGCTGCTTGCTGCGGTGTACAGACACCTGGCCGGGGCCCCAGTCCTCTTGACGCAGCCGGGGCCCCCGCCGCATGCAAGCGAAGAAATAGATAAAGAATGATTAAAATGTGAAGAATAAATTAAAATAAATATGTTTGTATTGCTGCTGAGCTCGGCTTAAGTACTCAGGTGTATCAACAGCCCGCTACTGCTGCCGCACGAGCAACAGCAGCAGCCGCAGCAGCAGCGGGAGGGCCCGCGGCAGCAGCAGAAGAGTCATTTATTCTTCCTTCAACTGCAATTAATTTGAATTTATATTTTAGTTTATTTAATTTCCAGCTTTTACTTCGTGTTTCGGCCTCTGGACTAACGAGCTCCCTGTACACCGCGTGGGGTGTATGTGCAGCTCTCACCCGCCCGTCTGGCTGTAATTACCACCTCATCGACACATTTGAAGAGCATTTAATTTCTTGTTTATTATTTTTATAAATGCAATTGGATAATTAATTGATTTATTGCCAGTGTCCATTTAAATCCCCTTTATTCCTCACAACTTAATTCTCATTTTCAGTTTCATCCCCCGCTGGCCAGTCCGCCTCATGTCTTGACACTCTCTCCCTTTTTTCTTCTCCCTCTTTTCTGCCATTTTGGCTTTCCATTTGGAGCTAGCTAGCTAATCAGTTAGCTAGCTAGCCAACTAGCTAGCTAGCTAACTAGCTAGCCAGCTTGCTAGCCGCCCCAGCCAGCTAGCTAGCTAGCTGGCCCAGATAACCAGCTGCCATGGCTAGGCAGCTGCGCCAGAGCCGGATGCCAAATAAACAGCAACAAGCTAGCTGGCTAGTCACCTAGCTAGCTAGCTGGCTAGCTAGCTGGCTAGCTAGTTAGCTGGCTGGCGGGTTAGTTAATTAGCTAGGTGGCTAACTAGCTAGCTACGTAAATAGCTTGCTGGCTAGTTTCCTAGAGTTGCTGGAAGCCCTAAACCCTAAACCCTAAACCCTAAGCCCTAAACCCTAATTACCTTTGCTCATCTTTAGCTGCTTCGTTCGTCTTTAGCCCAAACCCCACAGTGAGGGTCCAAGCTACACTGCTGCTGCTGCATCAGCAGCTGCTGCTGCAGCAGCAGCCGCTGCTGCTGCTGCTGCTGCAGCTGCTGCTGCCTGCAACTTAGGGTCTGTCGAGCGACAGGGTTTATGCATTTAAC